GAGCTTATTAGGCCATATACAGCTTGTAGACCGTTAAGATCCTTAAGATCCTCCGTTTCTTTTGTCTGTCCCTCGGTCTCGCTGCAAGTCAAAAGGCGATCGAGCTTTCAGTCTCCCTCTGAACATCAGAATCTCTTATTATTTATTATCTTATCTTTTTATTATTTGTATTTTAGTATTACTTTTAAATATATTTCTTTTTATTTTTAATACCAGTTTTTTTTTTGTTTTTTTTTGTCTAATTTATTTTATTGTAAAGAACTTTGGAATAACTACGGTTGTGTAAAATTGTGCTCCATAAATAAAGTTTGCCTTGCCTTGCCTACTCTTTTGCTATTTTTGGGATGAAAACATCCATTAAATTAAACTGCTGTAAAAAGAAATATATATATATATTTATTTTTTTTGCAAAAATCTGTTAATCAACCTCAGTCCTGATCAAAATGACTAAATGTTTTAAGAAAGTACAGTATTTTAACTCTTTAATTGCTAAATTCATAATGTCTCTCATTTGGTGAAAAAAAACAACTTATTTTTGATATAAAAAAATAATTGTGTACTGGATTTTTTATTTTTATTTTTATTTTGTTACTTTTAATAATAATAATATTTTTAAAACCCCAATTGGAAAAAGTCATTTTCAACTAAGAGGAACCATCACTTCTGCATAAAAACATACAAAATATTCATAAAAACGTGTTACTAATTCAATGTTTTATTACATATTTTATTCACATTAGAATCGATACACTATTGGATCCCTCATCTATTATATGTAGGGTTATTGCCGTCCTTCAGTGTTTTGTATTTGTGTTTTTTTGCTCAAATTTCCAAGCGACATTCCATTCCAATGAGTGATAGACTGTTCCCGTGTAAAGGTAGCGGAGTCCTTTTTCCTGTCTCGCTGTTAATGTGCGTCTTTGTGTTTTAGACCTGTCTGCACCCTGGAACCTTGTATTTTGCAAGGCCTCATAAGTAATGTTTTTTCCAGGTGGCTGGGAAAGGACTTTATTTGTAGCAGATCCCCCACACCATCTCTTGAAGCGCATATGAGCAGCGGTGTCCCAAGGGGCTAAACCTTAGGGCCCCTTTTCTTCACAAACCTCCAGCAACAACACGCATAGTTTTCTTGTGTCTGTGTCAGCACTATTAGCCCCAAAGGGCTCATTTGTTTTAAAGGTTCACCATTCCTAGATGTGAAGTGATGTCATCATGGCTTTTTGTGGGCTTTGAAATATTTTCGTAGAAAGTGTCCCGCATGAACGCAGACAGAAGTTCTCATCATGCAATAACAGACCTTTCCAAGTTTGTTCATCTCATTTGGTCTTTATGAGCTGTAGGATGGAGTGCTTGTGCTTTATCTTCCAAGAACAAAATATGCGGCTTGCAGGCTTAAGAGTGCTGAATCATAAATATTACACACACATTTGCTACCAAATAATGCAACAATGATGCATGAATAGCCTTTAGCTGCTTTTTCATCCACCTATTTTTATGCGCATTTTGGAATATCGCATTAAAAATTCTGGATGGAAACTCCAAATGCTCCTAAATTTAGAAAATGCACATTAAAAATATAGTATTTTACGTTTTGTCAGTTTAGTGGCTAATTCGTATGAATTCGTATGCGTTCGGTCGTACGAAAATGTACTATTTTAAAGAGGAGGCGTGGCACCTAACCCCACCCCTAACCCCAACCGTTATTGAGTGATGAGCAAATCGTACTTAATAGTACGAATTAGATTGTACGAATTCATACGAATTAGCCACTAAATCAAAAAGTTACGAATTGCCGTGAGATTGTGTTGGCACAACTGAGTAGGAATAACTTTTTATCTGATAAGAAAAAATGTGCATAAACTATGATGGAAATCGTTAAAATTCCAGCAAATATTCCAAATGACAAAAATAGCTGAAAATAACAGGTATGTTTAGGTGGATAATCAGGTTTCAACATTTTTAATTTTATATACGAGACGTGACGATTTACGAGATGTGAAGTGATGACCATCCTTAATGGAAATCATCAACAGAGTAAATGTTCCAAAAAGTGCGAGCGGAGATGATTCTAAAAGGATGTGACAAACCGTAGACTATTTTGCATAACATTGCATTTCATCTATGTGTTCTAGTACAGAAGTAAGTTATTATATATGAAAAAAGGCCTTCTCCTTTTTTTCTTCCTTTGATTTTTGGTGACATTTTATCAGGAAGTGGTGAATTTTTTCTTTTGAACTCATTAGATGGAAATGTTGCTTTATATTCCAGTTTTGCACATACACTTTAATAATAATAATAATAATAATAATAATTCCTTACATTTATATACAGCTTTTCTGGACACTCAAAGTGATTTGCACATTTTGGGGGGTCTCCCCATCTCCCACCAGTGTACAGCAACCATCTGGATGATGCCATGGCAGCCATATTGTGCCAGACCGCACACCACACACCAGCTGATTGGTGGAGAGGAGACGAGAGTGTAGAATGATTAAGCAAAATTATGATATGGGAATAGTTAAGAGGCCATGATGGACAAAAGCCAGTGAACAAATTTGGCCAGGATGCCGAGGTTAAACTCCTACTCTTTTTTTTCGAAGGACATCCTGGGACATTCTTTTAACAACTACAGAGAGTCAGGACCTCGGTTTAACGTCTCATCCGAAAGATGGCGCTCACTGAGCAGTATCCCATCAATATACTGGGGCGTTAGGACCCACACAGACCACAGGTTGAGTGCCCCCTGCTGGTCTCACTAACACCACTTCTGGCAGCAACCTAGCTTTCCCATGTGGTTCCTAACGTAGGTTCATGAGGAGCCTCAAATATGTCAAAACTACATGGCTCGCAACATGGACACACAATTAAAGGCATACTAAACTGAACTTTTATCCCAACCAGTTGCTACAGCGATGTGCAAAATTTAAAATTAGTAGAAGGTTTCAATTTTTTTCGATAACATGGCTGAACACCAGCATAATCTACTGTAACAATGATCACCTCGGGTGTTAATTATGTCTGTTATTCCATGTTAAATGCTACCAATTTGAGTTTAATTAACATTTTACATGACATTTATTGCCATACAGTTGAAATGTGCAAATCAGCTGAAATGACACCTGAATCCACGGCTTTACACTAATCATCCACCCGCCACCTGCCCGCACATTTAGTTTTATCTGATATATGTATCCGCACCCAATTGTCACTTTAATAGTTGGACAGCGGGAGGGTGTTTCTGCCCTCGCTATTCTGCGATTACCTCTATGGACATGCCGTCTCTGGTCACCGTGGATAATAAAAGCAGATTCAGTGAGCTTTAATCTGTGCATCTCTGATAGTAAAATAGTACATTAATCACAAACGTTTTTAACCGAACATTTATTTATGAAAAATAAATATCTTTAGACAACATTTTCTTAATTATCAGTTAGATATAGAAAGTAAAAATAAGACATTTTAGCTTTTACAGATAACAAAAAGGGTGCTACTTCAGCCTAAATGGCAGCTATGTTATGTTAACTTGGCCTTTTTCTTCGCACTGTGTAAACACAGAATAGCATCTATTGTAAATGTATTTGGTCGATTCCGCTTCGCCTCCAAAACACGGCCAGCTGCACTGAATGAGCGTTCGCTTTCACCGCTTGTTGTAGGAATGAACAAAATTCTCCTCGCAAGGCGCTGCAGTCATGGAAATAAGCGATCTTGTTTCTCCCAGAACTATAGCAGATTTTCCTCTGATGACTCCTCTAACTGAAACTTTGAACAGTAGGCTACTCTGTACTCTTGCACTTCATGCATTATTTTAGGCGTCTCATCTTCCCATTCTGCAAAACCCACTCTACTTTTTTTGCTGGTCCACTGCCATGTCCCGCTACATCCACCCACAACCCACTCACAATTTATCGTAATATATTTTTTTATTTCCCGACCCGCAGATTATCTGCGTCCGCGAATATAACCGTCGTTCAAGCATCACTACCATACAGAAAGCGGAAGCATATATTACCTCAGATCTCGAAAAAATTGCAAACTAGCAAACAGTTTGAAGTCAGGTGACTCAGTGCAAACCAACAACTTAAGTACTCAGTAGCCTGATACTTTTAATAATGTAAAAGAGGTTTAATATTAGGGATATAATGATTCACCTGACTCACGATTCGATACAGTAGTTTTTCATTGTGCTGACGGTTTTTGTGTATCATATTCGTTGCTCTGTTAGTGTAAATAAACATCTTTTTGCAGTATTTGCACATGGTTTGTGTTTTGTTTGGCACACTTCACTGATGTCATTTTACTTTACCGCCCCACCTCTTGCTCACCGCTGATATGCAGGTAAAGCGAATTTGCGCCTGTAAACACAGCGCCCTCTCTGTTCGAAAAATGTATCGCGATTCGTTCAACATTTCTACCAGTTTAAATCATCACATATTTTAATCAATTTGAATCGACCCACTCCCGTTAAATCGTTACATCCGTATTTAATATGCATAAATCAGATTATAACCCTTATCATTGCATTGGGAGTTCAGTGCACCGTTCTGCACTTCTGAATGACTGGTACTGTGTTTACATTGTTTTGTCCGATCTCATTGTGTTTGCTGACAGACAAATTGCTTGCCAATGGAATCTTATTGTGTATGTACTTGCAGGATGTTTTACTCTAATTTTTTGATTAAGTTCAATACTTTAAAATTGCGCGGAAGGCACGATTCATGCAAATTCGTTGGAAAACATTCTTAATCAAACTCACACACATAGCAGTGGGAGAGTTGATTGCATTTGCCATTGTCATCAGACATCAGGGACGGCATGTTTATTGTTTTTACATATTTTATAAATGTATACAAATGAAAGCAATTGTGGCCTCTAGTAATGGCAATGTGCATACAAGGGTTTTGGCCAGAATCAGTTTTAGCTCAGTAGTCAAAGGTTTGTCAGCGTGAAATGGCTTCCTCTGCTGCTGTGTTCTTATTCTCTTTATTTTTTTTTTTTGTCAGGGGTCAGCTTCACCAACAGTGCTGTGAGGAGTGGACTCTGGTCAGTGAAGAAACTCAAGCCAAGATGGCCCGCATGGCAGCAGCTGCGGCGTGGGGACTGGGTGAGAGGAGAAATACTGATTAATTAAAGAGACATTTCAGTTTGTTTTTTAAAAAAAAGAGACTTTAACTTACTTATTACACAGAGACTTGCCACAAAACGTAAAAAAAAATTGACAAAAAAAAAACTTTCCAGAGTCGTAACAGTTAATTATTGTTTAATTAAAGGCAAAGCTGACAGAAACAAAAAGGCTGAATGGAGCAAACACTAACCTGCGTATTATTCAGTCCAGAGATGGAGGGCTGTTATATAGGACTGAAGGGCTTTATTCCTTGCAAACAACCACCTAAATGTACTTCATCCCTTCTATTACACAGCTATTTGCCACAAAACGTACAAATTAGACACAAAATATTGTTCTGTGACTCAATAGTTTATTAAGTCTGTAATTAAAGGCACGAAAACTAAAATGGCTAATGAAGCATACCCTAAAGCTGCATTTACAATGCATGGTTCAAGTGACTCAATTCCGATTTTGTTCTCTCATGTGGCACAGATCGGATATGGCCCATGTACGTGTAAGCAGGAACAAATCATAGGGATTCCGGTTTACTCAAATAAGATTCAGGCCTTGTTCGTATGTGGAAATTTATCCGATAGAAATCAGACGTGTGCCCTCGTGTCTGCAATGTAAGCTGGTAGATCGGATTTTCACCTGTCAATGCAAGTCGCGCATCATTGAAAACCATAGCAGATGACATCAAGTCTGACACTTTCATTTCAGAACAGACTAAAGCAGAGTCCCAAACCTAAATCTCATACATGAGGACTAAAAAAAGCTTTTGTATTTTGTTATGTAGCGCAGTTATTTAAGCATGCTAACAAGAGAGAGAGCATGCGAGAGAGAGAGAGCGCAATATCCGCCACCTAACCAATATAATACAAAACTATTGCATACATCACTTGCATAAATCACGGCCATAGACATGCCATTAAGATGGCCAAGTGAGAACTTTTCTGTCTTAAACTATAGTAAAACAGCTTGTCAAAAATAATAAATAAAAAATGAAACTCTGCAAACAGGAATGGAGAAAAGATCCCTCTTCAATTATCAGCTGTCAGTCAGCGCCCGCTCTTTTTTTTCCTGGTCATTGCGCGTTTGCTGTGTGCTGTGTAAATGCAGACAATCGGATACGAGTCACTTTTAAAAGTTGATGTAAGCAGGTCATCAAAAAAATCGAATACAGTCACAAAATCGGAATTGACCATCAAGATCTGCAGTGTAAATGCAGCCTTGTTAAGAACCCTTTTTTTAATCAAATCAAAATAATTAATTCATAAAGGGAACGCAACATAAAGAGGACACATGAACTAAGTTGTCTAAATTAATACATTTATTACAACCAAAACAATCAAACAAATCACGTGTCACAACTAAATAAGAATAAATAAAGAATCAATAACTCACGTTCTCCAACATATATACAACACTAACCAAAGACTAACAACCCAACAAATAACAAACTAGATCAAAGTAAGACTAAAAGAAAACAAAACAGTAAATTAAAGAAAATAAAAGAAGCTTGATGGCTGGCAGTGAAGTCTCCTCTGTCTCCGCTCAAGGTTGGTCCGTATTTATAACCAATTTCAATCAGCGCAACTCGCCGCAGGTGCGCAAAGGCGGACTCTATTGGAAACAAACAGTGAGTGACTTCATGACACACACACACGCAAGCACAGAGACAGGCACAACAGAGACAGGCAACAGCCGTAACAAGCCTAACCAACATATCATTCAGTTACAAGAGAGCGCTAAACAGTCAAAAACAGCAGCGTGAAATATACAAGCATTGAAAATATGAATGTGACCGTATTCAATGACGGTCAAGATGATTCAAAGCACTTGGATGAGCCTGGGTTAATAGTTTCTGGGGTTGTTATCTTGGAAAAACTTACCTTGGAGTGTTTGATTGGCTTATCTGAAACAAGTTTGTAATTATAAGTTATTCAATTCACTTCAAGTTTATTTGTATATCTCTTCACAGTAATTAATGTTTTAAAGCAGCTTCACAAATAGTGCACTTTATTGCATTACAGTCCAATTCAGAAAAGTTAAGCTTATTAATAACAATAACTTTACAATAACTAATTAAAGTTTTACCTTTTTTAATTATATATAATACATTTGACTGACTTCTTTGTGTTTGTCAGGCCACTGGGACAGTATGGAAGAGTATACCTGCATGATCCCGCGAGACACCCACGATGGAGCCTTTTACCGGGCAGTGCTTGCTTTACATCAGGATCTGTTTTCATTGGCTCAGCAGGTATTACATAATGAACAGCTAATGAGAGCTATTAAATAAGCTGAATTTAAACTACCTCTGACGTTGTTTTTCACAATGTACAAATGTCTGATTCACTTACATTGGAAAAGCAACCAGGAGGTCGATGTTTTAAGGAGAAAACTGTTCAGTCAGAGATGAGCACAACAGTTGGCATAGTGCGACGTCTCAAAGGTGTTATGCAATAATGGTCAAAGCCTGGACGTAAAATAGCTTGGCTGAAGTACGGACACTGTGGTGATCTGATGTTCCTTTTTCCGAAATGAATGCGTGTGTTTGAGAGAGAGAAAGCAAGAGATGAGCTCATACACATGGAGAACATCACAAAACACACCCATGTACTTTTTGTGTTTGTCACTATTATCCTGTCATCTCACCTGCTCCATTCCTCACGAGGACATTGTGTAAGAAATCCAGACTCCATTCACAGAATGAGATCCAGATGGAGATGTGCTTCTGGTCAAAGCGGGAAATACTAATCTCTTAGGCTGACCAATGCATTGAAATGATTTATAGATTTACTATTTATGAAAAATAGTTTGTGTACATACAGTTGAAGTCAGAATTATTAGCCCCCCCGTTTATTTTTTTCCCCAATTTCTGTTTAACAGAGCAGATATTTTTTCAACACATTTCTAAACATAATAGTTTTAACAAATCATCTCTAATAACTGATTTATTTTATTTTTGCCATGATGAGACTACATAATATTTGACTAGATGTTTTTCAAGATACTTCTATACAGCTTAAAGTGACATTTAAAGGATTAACTAGGTTAATTAGGTTAACTAGGCAGGTAAGGGTAAGGCTGTACTCACACTAGGTACAGTTGCCTCGAACCGGGCCAAAGCACGCTTGTCCCCCCTCCCGTCTCCCCCGACGGCCCACTTACGTCATCGCTGCTGCGCTGTTCAGTGAGAAGCGCTCTCACTCAGCAGCACAGTGGAGATTTCTCTAGTTATATCATTTCAGTCGTTTGTTATGCAGTGACATGCTGTCAAATATTTCGCCAAACAGTCCTTAGGGATGCAGTGACACGCAGTCAGATATTTCGCCGAACAGATCCGCCTCTTTTGGCGCTCATAAACAATCATAAAGCTCTCCTGCTGCAGGAATGAGGAGGTCTGCTGAAGCCGTGCAGCTGTTGTGCTGTGAGAAGTTCTCGTCTTTAATAATCTACGGCAGTTTGTGTTCACTGAACATTAAGAATAATTAATAAATCCATATGTAACAGTCCCTTAAAAGTCACGTCTCGCTTTCAGTTTCGGGGCTTTGGCGCGTTTTGCACTCACACACAAGCGTACCATGCCAAAGCCCAAGTGAACCGCTCTCAGGCACACCTCTTCCAACCGGGCTAGGGCCGGCCAAGTGAACCGTGCTTTAGCCCGATTCAGCGCACTCACACTTCTCAAAAGATCCAGGAAACGGGCCTGGGCACGGTACGGATGGCATAGTGTAAGTAGGCCCTAATTAGGCAAGTCATTGTATAACGATGGTTTGTTCTGTAGACTATCTAAAAAAATAATTAGCGTAAAGGGGCTAAACATTTTTTCCTTAAAATGGTTTTTAAGAAATTCAAAACTGCTTTCATTCTAGCCTAAATAAAACAAATAAGACTTTCTCTAGAAGAAAAAAAAAATTCAGACATACTGTGAAAATGTCCTTGCTCTGTTAAACGTCATTTTGGAAATATTTGAAAAAGAAAAAAAAAAAGAGGGCATAATAATTCTGACGTCAACTCTATATTTGGATTCCCATGTTGCAAAGACTTGTATGTGAAAGATATGTATATAAATGACATGCAGTTACCTCAAAATGGTATTTCCATGGTGACACAGATAGCATAGAATTAAACCCAAATTATACTTTACTGCCTGCATTTTGAAATTTTCAGCACATCGAGTTTCTTTGATCATCAGGAAAAATTTTGTGACAATGTCCAAAGCTGTGATGTAGTGGGCACTCGTCACAGATATTTATACAGTGAGTGTGAGTGTGCAGAGACTGTCACTTTGAGTATTCAAGTACAAAATGAAGAATGCCAGTGAATTGTCTTGGCACTTTCCATCTGCAGCATGACCACATTCAGCGTCCTTCAGAATATACCAATAATAATAACAATAGTTCAAATAAAGTGTATAATACTAACTTACATTTACATTTATTAATTTAGAAGACATGGATACTTACAAACACTTCATATGATCAGAGTTGCAGTAGATACAGTGGGGGAAATAAGGTCACACTTTATTTTGATGGTCTGCATGTTGAATTTAAGTAACATTGCATCTATGTGCCAACTAATTCACATTAGATTATAAGTAGACTGTCAGGTTGGGGTTGGGGTTAGTGTAAGTTGGCATGTACTTGCAAGGTTTCTTATGGTTGTCTATTTAGCAGCAGTATCAACAGTTATTAAGCAGACAGTCTACTAATACTCATATGGACCATCAAAATAAAGTGTTACCGGAAATAAGTATTAAAAACATCACAATTTTTATTTTTATATAAAATAAATATATATTTATAAAGGTGCTGTTGACTTGAAATTGTCACTGGATGTTGGTATAAATGCAAATAAAAAAAGGTACGTGTAATAATATTAATGACAGGAGGAAAGTATTGAACCCATGAAGAAAGGAAGGTGTAAAAAGGCATGGAAAGATCAGACAGCAGCTGAAATCTCTCGGTAGTTAGAAAGCAACCCTCTGCCCTTCATCATTGTAAATTAATATTAGCTGCTTCAGTCTACATCTACATTATCAGGATGATGAAGATGAAACCAGGGTGGTCATTTCAGCAAGACAATGATACAAAAACACAGCCAAGGAACTCTCAAATGCTTTCAGAGAAAGAAAATCAAGCTGTAGAATGGCCCAGCCGATCCCCTGACTTAAATCCAATAGAAAATACAAAATAAAGCTCATATTTGGTAGACGAGACCCACAGAACCATCAAGATTTCTGTTGAAGTTTGTGAAAAAACACCTTAGCAATGAATGTGACTTTATTCTCCATATGAGAGGCCTCTTTAAGCTGCCATCACCAAAAAAGACTGATATATTAAGTATTAAATACATTTCAGTAGTTCGGTTCTCTCTCCAAGAACACACTTTTCCTTATTTACAACATATGCTGATTGTCAGTGAAATTGCATAGTGTAAAGTAAGAGACTGATTTCTGGATGGCGAGTCTTTGCTTTGTAATTCTTTGACATAAGCGTGATGTATTTCACGAGTGTAACCGCTGTAGTAAAACTGGCAGAATCTGAACGCTGTATTCATCTCGGTCTCCCTCTCCTCCTTTTACTCACCATGCATACTTATTTTGCAGCATTTTTTTTTCAAAACTGTGGTGAACCAGGGAGTTCCATGACCCTTAAGCCGGAAAAAAGCCACCACCTCCTGGCAGTTTATGTGCCACATGAGAGGATTGGTTTTTCGTTAGCTGGGTGGTCTACTAACGAGGCATCAGAAGTGACGATGGGTCTCTAGTGAGGATTTCTATAGGGACAAACTCTCTGGTTGTTGGTCCATCATTGAAACCAATGTTGTGACTGGGATTCTGCTGCGTCAAGGCTGAAGTATCATCGATATACCAGTTTAAACTGAAGCCTCAGTATGGTCAGATTGGTGACCAACAATTAATATTTGTTTGTTTGTTTGTTTTTTTTTAGACTTTTTGTCTTGTTTCTAGCCCAAATATCTAAAAATTCTTTAGAGACTTACATGTGAGGATAAAAGAACTTCAAATCATGTAGTATATACAGTACCAGTGGGGGAAATAAGTATTAACACATGAAGAAAAGAAGGTGTAAAAAGTTATGGAAGGCCCAGACAGTAGTTGATATCTCTCAGTAGTTCGAACGCAACCCTCTCTTTCGTCATTGTAAATTCTACATTATAAATTTATATTGTAAATTCTATCTATATCTAAAATCTACATTACCAGGATGATAAGGATAAAACCAGGGTAGACATTTTAGCAAGGAAAGGGTCCAAAACAGCCTAGAAAACTTTAAAGCTGTAGAATGGCCCACATTTACCTGAAGCCTCAGTTTGGCCAGAATAGTGACTAACATACACTGCAAAAAAAAAATTTTTCTTTCTTAGATTTTTTGTCTTGTTTCTACTCCAAATATCTAAAAATTTTGAAATCAAGAACCATTTTCTAGACCTGTGAAAAATATTGTCTTGTATTCAGAAATAATAAGTCCAAATTAAGTAATTTTTTCATGCATGAAAAATAATCTGCCATTAGGCTAAGCAAAGTAATTTAACTTCAATGCGAAAACAAGATTATTTTGCTTTGCCCATTAGCAGATGGAAACAAGAAAGAGGATAAGAAACAAGACAAAACCTGTAAGTAAGAAAAGCTTTTTTGCAGTGTACTAGATACTAAGGGCTCTATTTTAACAATCTACGCGCAAAGACTGAAGTGCAGGGCGAAAAGCATTAAGGGCTTGTCCAAATCCACTTTTGCTATTTTAAGGACGGAAAAATATGCTCTGTGGTCTAACAGGGTCTCATCTCACATTCCCTTTAAGAGTCAGTTGCTTCGCGCCATGGCGCATTTACTATTTAAATGGCGGACTTTGTAAGTGGAACTGAATGCTTCTCTTGCAAGAGAACAGTTAAACAGACCATCTGCAGCCCGAGAATGAGCCTCCTCCAATCGGTCTTTAGTGTCACCTTCACTTTCTCTCTTTTGTGGGTAAGGAAATGTGTTGTACGCACAGACATCCATTAGCCTACATAATTAATTTAGTTTGTTAAGAGCAAAGATTTGTTTCAAAACTATTTCTCAATTCTGTTGTAATTTCCAGCAAATGATAAAAAGTGTGCTCAAACAACTGAGTTATATCCAACCACACAAGCTGTGCCCCATTTGGTCCAAAACCTGACAGGTGGACAAATCTAAGCTTGTTTTTAATAAAACTAATATAAATATCCATAAAATAAATACTACTACTACTAATAATAAAATTATACAAAAGTTAGTTGTCGTAAATAAACTGGAAAAAAAACACCAAGGTGAAGAAGGCATGCAGGTTCTGGATTTTATATTAATAGAAAATAATGTTTTTTGTAAAATTTTTATCCTTTTATTCTTTTGCGTATTGCTCTACATCCTGCATGTTTTAAGCAATGTTTAAGCGAGGCGCACAACTAATGTGCTCTGGACTTTAGACCTGCTTTCAGTTGGTCTATTTTAATCCTCCAAATAGCAATGCGCCAACAATACACCTTAACACACCTCTTATCGGGACCTAAACACCCATGAGTCCACAAAGTGGCGCAAATGGATTTGCTATTTAAATAACGTGGCTGAAAACCAGAAAATTAGAGCTGCGTTGATCTGAAACTAGCAAGACGTTGTGGAAACACGTCTTGCACTTTATTGCGCCTGGTGTATGATAGGGCCCTAAGTCGAGGTCAGCCGGAAAAACATTGCAAAAACCAAATCTGAAAATTGAATATGCATCCTTTTGATTGGTAGTCTCAAATCCTACTTGAATCTGAGAAACAATGCGTTTCAGAGTTAAAGACATATACTTCACCCAAAAATTAAGATGTTGTCAATATGTACTGACCTTTGACTTGTTCCAAACCAGCTGTTATTTTTATAATTTTTTTCCATAGATTTTTCCAAAGATTTTTTGAAGTATGTTGTAAATTGACATCCATAGTAGGAAAAACAAATACTAGGTATCAATGGTGAAATGTTTCCAACATTCTTTAAAATATCTGCTTTTGTGTTTAACAGGGCAAAAAAAAAAAAAGGTTTGGACCAAGTCAAATGTGATTAAATGTTATTTTTTTAGGAGGAACTATCTCTTTCAGGTTTAAACTGCATGAACTCAGTGAGCAGATGCAGTTCAGGATTGTATAGAGCTTTTTTATTTTTTTATTTTATTTTTGGCATCCAGAATTACTGGCTCTTAGCCCTGATTTTTATCTCATTGGAAAGGATGCATTTCATTAGGTCTCCGTTTTCCAACAAGGATTGTTTTCCTGCCTTAACACATGAGCCTAGCAAAAGTTGACTGAATAGTCACATTCATTCCCTGTACTGTGAAAATATATTGGCCGTCATCCTGATTCTTTTGTGTATATTTCAATAAGTCAGAATCTGCAGTTGAAGTCTAGCCTATTAATGCATAACAGCCTTTCACTATAATAAATAAAAGGTAGACTCAACTTAAAATTACAAAGCAACTTTCTGCACAGCGTTGACTCAACTTTTAACTCAAGTACTGTAGCTGACTTGATTACATTTAAACCCATCAAAAAAAGCTGTGCAGCAAGTTGACTTACACTTTTAAGTTGAGTCAATGTTTTTTTGCTATGTTGCTAGTTGTTTAGATCTTCAGTGTTGAGGTATTGATGTAATCTAGTATAAACTGTGTGTTTTGTGCGCACTCTGTGTGTGAGAAAAAATTTTAAAAGCTATATTTAGTGTATATTTAGGCAATGATATTGTTTGTTTTCTTAGTCAGGTATTCAGCAGAGTCATTATATAGTGTTTGTGTGATTTCAGTGTATTGACAAGGCCAGAGATCTGCTGGATGCCGAGCTCACCGCCATGGCTGGAGAGAGTTACAGTAGAGCATACGGGGTAAGAACACAGTCACACCTTATCTCAGTCTAGAAGATTTTCACATTCGCCTTCTGATTCGTGCTCCTATTTACATTGAGTAAAGTGAATCCCACTGACCGCACGATTTACAAAACGAGATACTGTATTAGCCAGTCACAGAGATGTTTCCTCTTTTGCACACCTAATCATTCACCGTTTTCTTGTCAGTCACCTTTTCTAACTCTTGTCATGTGATAGGAGTAAATCAGTTTGCTGTAACTCATGAACAGGCTTTCAGTTTTGAGTTGAAGCATTCAGTGTTTAACTGAAATAATATTGGGAAAATACTGGGAAAAAGCACGATACTGGGAAAATATCTCATAATCGTTATGCTAACTGTTGCGATTACGTTATTTCTGATAATCTAACTAACCTACAAAATACTTTTAATAGCAGTTTATTTAAAAAATCATTTAGTTATGTAATGATCATGCTAAAATATACACCTAATACAGATATGGCTACTGAGAACGCGCATGTCTTTAAAGAAAAATCGCACATTTCCGCAGTAAAGTGCGTCAAAGCACAACATGGTCTAACACAAGAATTACATGGCCAGCAGGGGGCAGTTATGTAACATGAGGAGCATACTGAACTGATACAGTAAACTGAGCACGTGAGCTACCTGTAAACATTGTGAAAACGGCATTCTTTTGTCAGCTGTGTGTGGTATCTTATACTATATAGTTTACCTGAGTGTCTATTTAGGCTAAGTGCAAGTAGCGCACCTCTTTGGAATAAGCTAGTCGAGTGCTAACTTATTATTATTATTATTATTATTATTAGTATTATTATTATTGTTGTTGTTGTTATTTTTACGTTTTAGTTTTTATTATTTATTTGAAATGGCCAAATTGTGACTAAGGACAGTTGAATGTGCTAGCCAGTTTGTTTTTGTCTAATAAATGATAGTAGGCTATAGTTTTTTTTAACTTTAAAACTTTAACAGATTGCTATTTTTTCCTAATGATATATGATGTAATAAATCTTTATTTAAAAAATTAGCCTTGTTTAAATTTTTTTTTATTTGTAATTTTTAGGAAATATTTTAAGTACATCAAAAAGTGTGGTTATAATGACATCTGACTAGCTAATCCAGCAAAAAGTCACTTAAATGCAGTATTTAAATCTCATAGTTAAATAGAAACTAAGGCGTATAACTGCAAAAACGTCTACCTGTAAGTCAATGGAAAAGCGGTTATTCATTGCGCCACCTGGTGGCTATTGCGTAAAGCACAGGACTGTTTTTTTTTTATTTTTATGAAAAGGCGGCCTTTACAGCCGCAGTATTGCATGTGACTGCGGTTGACAAATTGCAATATTGCGCGTACAGAAACGCTCGTTCTCAGTAGCCATATCTGTAGACATTTTTCTGAGTTATATCAATCTAAAAAATCTATTAAGGTGCAAACCATGAGGAAAATTGTGATTCCTAAATGTAAATTCGTAAAATTAACATTTTCCTCTCTCGCCTCCCAGCATTTGTGTTTATTTTCAGCTCTAGGTTACTTACAGCACCAACTGGAGAGGTGGGAATAAAGAGAGTTAAGGCACCATCTGATTGTTCAGATTTGAATAAACAGCGTATTCATGCAGCACTGAATATCTGACAAAAACGACAGACAATATTTAGATTTTTTCCTCTTATTACAATAAATTCAATCATTGATTTAAAAAGATATACACTACCTGACCAAAGTCTTGTTGTCGATCCCAGTTGTAAGAGCAACTGATAATAACTTGACTTCTAGTTGATTATTTGATAAAGGTGGATTTTTCAGGTGAATCATCTGTTGAACTGCATCCCAATCATCACAAATACTGCAAAAGACCTATTGGAACTCACATGGACACAAGACTGTCCTAGAAATCTGTCAAGTTTGGTTAAGAAAAAAAATCATGGTTTGGGGTTACATTCAGTATGCGAGAGATCTGCAGAGTGGATGGCAACATTAACAGCCTGAGGTATCAAGACATTTGTGCTGCCCATTACATTACAAACCACAGGAGAGGGCAAACTCTTCAGGAGGATAGCGCTCCTTCTCAGACTTCTCCACATCAAAGTTCCTGAAAACCAAGAAGGTCAAGGTGCTCCAGGATTGGCCAGCCCAGTCACCAGAAATTAACATTATTAAGCATGTTTAAAGTAAGATGAAGGAGGAGGCATTTAAGATGAATCCAAAGAATCTTGATGAACTCAGGAAGTCCTGTAAGAACACTTTCTTTGCCATTCCAGATGACTTTATTTAGTTATTGCAGAGATGTATGGATGCAGTCGTCCAATCTCATGGGAGTCATACACAATATTCATTCTTTTTCCACTGCACCATGACTTTATACTGTACATAATTTTTGTTCAGTGACAAGACTTTTGTCTAAGCAAAGTCAGACCTTACTGTCCTGATTTGATAATTAAAAATCAAGTCATGATCATATTTTATTTTGGTACAATAAACATAATCTAGAGATCATTTTCCTTTCATATAAGCCACTTCTGATGCCAAATGATCAACTAGAAGTCAAGTTATTATTTGTTGTTCCTAAAACTTGGAAAGATGACAAGACTTTTGTCAGGTAGTGTACAATGACTTCTTTAATTACCCTAACCTGCCTGATTAACCTAGTTAAGTCTTAAAATGTCACTTTAAGCTGTATACTAGTGTCTTGAATAATATCTAGTAAAATTTCTAGTATTTACTGTCAAGATAAAAGAAATCATTTATTCAAAATCAGTTACTGTTAAGAAATGTCTTGAAAAAAAATGTCTTTCCGTTAAACATTTTGTTTCTGTTAGAAAATATACAGAGGGCTAATAATTGAGGAGGGCTAATGATTCTGATTTCAACTGTATATTAATGCCACTTGCAAACAAAAATGTTTATATTATTAAAGAGTCCAATTCATATTGCTGTCTTTCTTTGTATCTCTTTTAGGCTATGGTATCATGCCAGATGCTTTCGGAGTTAGAGGAGGTGATCCAGTATAAACTGGTTCCCGAGAGAAGGGACATCATCAGGGAAACATGGTGGGAGAGACTGCAGGTAACACCAGCGTTTTCCTCTTTAAATTTGATGAGAATTTGAGGATGCGATGATTAACTGATTTCATGATTAACCTCAATTTATTTTGGCATGGTTAATGAATTGTGAAAGCCTTGTAACAGCATTTTTATTGCATAGAACGGAACTACAGCAATTAGAGCAAAATGAAAATTAAGATGTGCCAGCGGTGCGACAGCTTAAAGTTCAGAGTTTATAAGAGACATAGAGGCTATTACCAGGGTTGCAAATAACCTTTTTTGGTTGGGGAGAGCGGGGTCAAAAGTAACATGAGACAAAAGTAACAAATCCGTTTTCTCAAAGCCCTGACAACACTTGCTTTTCAGTCTATAACAGTACAATCAGCGTGCAACTCTTGATGGAGCTGCCAAATATCAGCTGATTTCAGGACCGTGTCCCACAATTAACTCCAAATTTCAGTTTTTAGGACCAGAAAATCAGTAATTTTTTCCTTATTACAAGTTCTGTTTCTCATTACATGTAACACACTAATGATCAATCTACTGGTTATTTAGTGCAAAAAACACGTCCTTAACCAGTTAAACTCTGCGGACCCGGTACCAGGTCCGTGACGTCATCGACTTTCGCTTTAAGATTTAAAGGGCTAGCATTGCACCAGATTAGGGCTGGAGGATTTTATCGATTCTGCGATATAAATCGATTTTTTTCCCCAAAGAAAGTATTGATTTTTTAGCCGCGAGTATCGATACATACGTCCCCTTCAAATCCCCCGTGTTGTTTACCCCCGTTTGCGTAGCAGGAAGAGCGATTTGGTCAGCCAGCCACTAGTGTTGCGGTAGAGCAAGTTACCTGTACTAACTTTACACAGACGCAGATGTCTACCTCTTCCTGTTTACCAAGGAAGAGCGTGCATATTCAGAGAATGGCGGCGAACATAAATCCAGCACCTGCCTGCTTAAAAGCAGATGTGTGGAAGCACTTTGGTTTTAAAAAAAAGAAGGAAAGCAACGACTTAGATAAAAGCATCGCGCTTTGTAAGCTATGTGGCACTGACGTTAAATATTCCTGCAATACCACAAATTTACCAGTGCACTTAAAACGTCACCACCCGGACAAGTTAATGCTTACGGAGGACCCACAGCAGCAGTGGCAGCGTGACCCAAAACAAACTACGCTGGACATTGATGGCGGTTGTTCCCACAAGTTTCCATCTGCCTCACCAAGGTCGCAGAAAATTACAGAATCCATTGCCTACTTTATTTGTTCTTAGTGACTTAAAATTATTTGATGTTTTGGAGGTTTTGGAGAAGCCATGGTACTACTATGTTTACTTTCATGGCAGCTAGACTTGCTACCTCATGTTTTTTGTCAATCTAAAAAGATGTCAAAGAAACTGTTCAGAACAGGCCACTTGCACTTTAACTTTCCATTGTTAATTGCAAAATGCAATGTTGCACTTTATTTACTTTTCAAAGGCTTGTAAGCTACAGTTTGCACTGTTTCAATAAATGGAACAAATTTTCTCATCACATCTTTAATTTTATCCAGCATTTATTTTGCAAGCTGTCTGATGTTTAAGTTTATTTCAAGTTAATTAAATCTAAGTAAATTAAACACTCCTAAGATGTCACTAAAATCACTTTGTCTCTTTTAAATCTATCAGAAAATGTTGTAAGCGTATCGAATGATATAGAATCGTATCGAATTATATCAAATCGTATCGAATTGTTTTGTGGCTAAATATCGTGATATATATCGTATCGTGAGCTGAATATCGTGTATCGTATCGTATCATGAGATTAGTGTATCGCTACAGCCCTACACCAGATCTATATTTTATGCACATATGCATCCCTTTGGTTTTTATTCTACTGTACAAACGTTATTTACACTTAAATACGCAGTATTTTGGATACCCGAGCTGGGTATTGAACATTGGTTTATTTTCATATTTTTAATATGATTCATATATAAATCTAGCAAATATTGTTGTGTTGCTTTTGACCCACTTGTGTGCTGCTTACGTCCCTGCTGTTGGGGTCAAGAGTAACAATATGCAACTTTTGTTTAAAGTGAAGTTACATTGAAGTTGTTCTACATTGATAAAAAATAACACCTGATTTTGATAGAGTGCTCGTTTGAGTTAGTAACCACAGCAAAAATATATTTCTGTCTAAAAACATTATCTTTTAAAATTAGGTTTTTATAAAAATATGGCACTTTCATCCACACTATATCCTATGGTATTCAAATGAGTACCTGGAGAAGTCGCTCTGTCCTCTGTGGGACAGAAGTCGCTCTGCTTTGTGGGGGGTTGGGGGGTCAGCGTGGCCACAAGGGGGCTCTGTGGGGGGTCGCATCATATTTTAAACATTTCTTAGCAGTCGACAATTAGGAGAATGATCATGTTGCCTTAGTTCATTTTATCCCCTAGCTCAGTCCCCAGCCACCAATCCGTGAATCAATTGGTACCGGGCCGCACAAGAAATCATTAATAATTTCCATTTTATTATCTGAGTCTAAACAATCTTTTATTTTGAAAAGTCTTTTATTTTGAAAAATAACCGTACTCTTGCTTACATCTCAGTCACTTGAGATGGTCTTTACTAAGGGGAAAAGACCCAGTGAACGACCCGCGAACTGCCAAGATATGGATTCAGAATCCATTTGTCAATAAATCAGGTGAATCCAGCATGGCGCTGCAAAAAGATCAACTGATGGAGATCGCAAATGGGGCCGTTCGTATTTCTAGAGTTTGCACAAGTTTGCTGTTTTCAAACAAAGGTGCGAGCTCACTGCGAGTCACGTGACAAGAATTGACCGATCAGCTTCAGCTTGTATGGAATATTCGTATTTCGGTAAGATTAGTTTTCTCAGACAACACAGAACACTCAAGCACTGCAGTGCTTTGTACTTTTTTCGATAAATAAAACTTGTATCAGAGTGACAGCAATGATTGGTCAGCTTCTCATCCCCCCTCCCTCTCACCCACACACACACACACACACACACACACACACACACACACACACACACACATCAAAAATGGACAATTTTGTGATCCTTCTCCACAAAAAAAGACAGGGTCACACTGATTCACCTAGCAGCAATCCTTACACTAATTAATAGAGCATAACAAATAACATGCAAGGATTAAATTGTAATTGCCTATATTATTTTTTCCCCTTATACCCTTATACACTTGTGTGTATTCGGATATTTTTATTATGAAATTTGAAATAAGGCCAGTTTAAAGGCTAAAGGCTTATGTTTTTCAGTTACAAATGGCCTACTGATGTTTTGCTTTATATTTTACATTAGGCTATTATTTGTGCATAAACATACCTATATAAACCACATTTTTTGTCATCATTACTGCAAACTTATATGAGCGATATTATCATTTAATGTGGAGGGGGGCCTTACAATATTTTCCAGGGGTAAAGGCTGATTTATACTTTTGCTTCAAGCGCACGCACATGCTAGGGCGCAGCCTACGCGTTGACGCATAGCCCTACACCCTGGCTGTCTGCATCGCTGATGTGCACCTCTCAAAAATTGTAACTACACGTCGCAACGACGCGTAACGCAAGCTCTGTGATTGGTCGGCTTGGTAGCGCTGACGAGTTTGGGCAGGACCGAGAGCCGCGCGAGCCCGATGGAGCGATTGTTTACAAGTGTGGAGTCCCGTGAAGGAGCTCCAGATGGAAAGTTTTGTTTTGTGTTTACCTCATGGTTAAAGTTGTTGCACGTCCGCTGGTTCCTGCCTCAAAATCACAGAGTTTGAGCCACTTGTACATTCAGAAAGCGTTCAGGAAAAACTAAACAGCAGCGAAGAAACTCAACACAGAGGAACATAAACACCTCACTGCCAACTAGCGTTTCAGAAGTGTTAATGCAGACCAACAGAGACAGCGCGCAGAAGTATAAATGCACAGCTACGCGCTATGCATGCGCTGTGGGTTGCGCCGGTCACTCAACGCAGAAATATAAACCAGGCTTAATCTTAAACCACTGATATACAGAGTTGGCCATTAATATGGATACACCTTAATAAAATGGGAATGGTTGGTGATATTAACGTCCTGTTTGTGGCACATTAGTACAATTGAGGTAGCAAACTTTTCAAGATGGGTGGTGACCATGGTGGCCATTTTGAAGTCACCATAGACAGCAAAGATAGTGAGGCCATTCTTCATCAATGGAAGCCTCAAGGCCACTAGATATTTGAAATTGCAACATGAGGAAGTGTTTCCCTCTTTATGCACTGAAGCTGGCACGTTCCCTGAGTTTTTCCAGCAAAATGGTGCACCACCACAATAAGGGTGTCAGGTCTGAGCATGAACAGTGGATTGGTCGTCGTGGGCCAGTTGAATGACCCTAAAGTCTCCCGATCTGACCCGCTTAGACTTTTATCTTTGGGGTCATCTGAAGGCAATTGTCTATGGTGTGAAGATACAAGAGGTGCAGCACCTGAAACTACAGATACTGGAAGCCTGTGCTGGCATTTCTCCTGCGGTGTTGCTATCAATGTGTAAAGAGTGGGAGAAAAGGGTTGCATTGACAATCCAACACAATGGTAAATAACTCATGAAATATTAGTTATGTTAAAACCAAGCACACCATTGTTTTCTTGTGAAATTCCCAGTAAGTTTGATTTGTCAAATGACTCTCTTTCTATTGAAAAAACAAAAGTTGGATCCAAGATGGCCGACTTCAAAATGGCCACCATGGGCACCCATCTTGAAAAGTTTTCCCCCTCACATATACTAATGTTCCACAAACAGGACGTTAATATCACCAACAATTCCCATTTTATTATGGTGTATCAATATAAATGGCGCACCCTGTACATAACACCCATTTTCAAAATTTTAAACTACATATATTTTTATATCTTTGAAATCTAAACATGAACTTGTTTTTTTAAATATGTGGTTAGGATATTGTTATATGTTAGATTTTTATATGTGGGACCACGCGATCAGCTGGTGCTTTTAGATTTGGCTCGATTGCCTGGCTCGCAAGTTTGAACTTTAAATGTAGGACTTTAATCAATGCAGTTTCGTTTTCAGCATGCTAACACTGAGCGGCACATGCATTTATTTAGCCATCATGAATGTAATGTAAAAGTTCAATTAGTTATTTTCTGTTATTTGAAGAGGAATACATATATAGCTAGCTAATATTCAATTCCAGTAGTGTGATCTTGTTTCTTTTTTAATCATTTTCACTGTACTGTGTATTTCAAAAGGCAGCTATACTTTTAGCATAATAAGTCAGAAGCTAGCTAACTATGTTTTTGCTTTTCACTTCTTGGGTCCAAAAATTTGTAGAAAATAATACACAAAATGAAGATACAGAACTATGTAATGTAGTTAATCATAAAGACCACATTTGTTTGCTTAATGTAGCTTATGTTTCATCCCAAATAATCAAAGCAAAACCTATAATTGATGCATTCCTAATATGCATCAATATTTCCTCAATCAGTTGCTTCCAACGTCAGTAATTTTGTCCTGACCTGGATGTCATTATGTGGGAAAACATTTTGTCACTGGCATGACATCAGCTCAGCAGGGTGCTTTGACGTACTGTGTCAGCTTGCGTTTATTTTATTTGCTCTCAACTAGTGCCACTAGGGAAAAACAAACCATAAACAGAGCGAACTAATGGTGCCAACCTCCAGACTTTTCCATTCATAAAGCGAGGTGTGAGGAGTTCCAAACAGATGTGTTGAACAGCAGTTTAGAGGCCATTTCTGGGTAACAATGTCAGAATTTACAGGTAATTTGGAATGGATGTGTGAATGGTCCTTCCGGAAAAATTCCGGGACATCCTTGCTTGTGTTAGCAGCGCTTTTTTTAATTTACCGTTAAAGTTGGAAATGTTTTAATGGCATCATTGTGTGAAAGGGGCTAGTATCACTTGATGAGTTCATTACACTTGCGTGATCAGTCTTGGCTGGTCTCAGGAGTGAACAGCACTGTGATTTAGAGCAGTCAGTGTGTCATGTAATCAGCCGTTAAATTCAAATCTGCTTTCCCGCAGATTTTAATCAATCATAACTTATTATAGTTGAAGTGTTTTCTTACATGTAACATTTTTTCAGGTTTAAGACATTGAAATACACATTAGTTCTTGCAAAACAACTATTTATAGTTCATAGAATACACCACTGTTGTCTCTGAAAACGGCAATAGTAATCATATTAAATATAATCGGATGACATGCTTTATTTACATCATGTAGTAAACACTGAGTGTGTGTATGATTCAAAAGTTCAGCCTGTGTGTAGTTGTTCACATATGGATCAGTTTAGGTCTATGACCAGTTCACACTGGAAATGTAAAATTGACCACATTTAAAACAACAGTATGATTAGCTATGCAAATAAATCAGATCTGAGAAAAAAAACGTGATTTGAGCACCAAACCTTGCATTGTAGAATGGACAAAAATGCATTTCTTACTTAGAGTTTGTGTCTTGTGTCTAGTCTAAAACTAAAACTAATCTAAAACTTACTGAATAAAAAAGGATTTTCTAGACGAGTCTTTTTTTCAGAAGTAATAGTCAAAATTAAGCAAGTTTTTCCTTAAAACAAGCTAAATAATCTGCCAATGGGGTGAGCAAAATAAACTCATTTCAAAGCAAAAACAAAAATATTTTGTTTACACCACTGACTAGAAACAGGACAAAAATATTGAGGTAAAGTTGCTTTTATATTCGCACATTTGATTATTTTAACGTCTCTATATTGTTTACCATGTTACTTCGAAAATTCAGTCTGAAAACGCAAGTATGAATGACTGCAAAACAACATTAGCAGTATTTAATTATCCATGAACAATGTTGTGCTTTGATTGTCATTGGCTGCTAATATGATTTCCTTATTTAGAATTTGCAAATAATATTTTTCGGATATTATATTATTAAGGAGAAAGTCTGAATATGGGAATATAAAACAAACTTTACCTCAATGAAAAAAAAAAATAGCAGTGTAATAGTCTTATGGGTCAAATTGAGCCAACCCAAGCTTCAAAATAGTTTACAGTGCATATGTAAATTCTAAAAATGTAACAAATTTTTTTTTTTCTCCAGGGTTGTCAACGCATTGTGGAAGACTGGCAGAGGATCTTAATGGTGCGCTCTTTGGTCATTAACCCACATGAGGACATGAGGACGTGGTTGAAGTACGCCAGCCTCTGTGGAAAAAGTGGAAGACTGGTGAGAACCCTCAAGTGCAAGATTACCACTGAAATCGTTATGTAACAAAATAAAAAGTGACTGTTATGCAACGTCTGCAATTTTTACAATCTATCATTATCTAAATTTAGCAACATTATTACAGAGACTTCAAACTATAAAACTGATGTTCTGAGATTAAATTAATCCAGTTTATGAATTATTTTGCAACTTTGAATTAGAATGAGTTTTGTACTTCTACCAAAAATGATCACAGTACATAAAAAACTAAGTATTATAAATGATATATGGGTTTAACTGTTCATATATATATATATATATATATATATATATATATAGCAGAAATCATTTAAAAATGGATCTTTTTTTGGTTTTTTAAAGGATTTAAAAATGTACACAAATATAATTAGATAAGGGTGGTATTCATGTGAAAAAGCGTAGTTCTACTAACAGGTAATAACCTTTTCATGTTAAACCACTAAACACTGTCCACTTTGGCAGATGGCTTGAATTGATGACCTTTGATTTGACCTGTAGTGGTGGTCATAAGAGCTGGAGACCACTGACTGAAGCAGTTGATTAGGGGATGAAAGACAGATAAGGAAAGAACTGTTCTTATTGACTCAAAGGCCTTGGTAGGGTCAAGCTTATGTTACACTCTCAGTGGAAACTTATTGATGTGTTTATTTACGAAGCGCTTGAGCTCTAACAGATGACCCTATTTTTCGGGTTTTGGGGTCTTGTATTGAAGATTAGTGGTAAGCCTGTTATCTTTCTGTTCATACATGTTTAAAAAAAAAAAGGTAATTTCTCAAACATAAAATTAAGTTTAACCCTCTGGTAGTCTTTGGTCAACTTAGACCAATAAATAAATAACAAAAAAACAAACATAATATATGTTTGTATATATATATATATATATATATATATATATATATATATATATATATATATATATATATATATATATATATATTTGATTTTTTTAAATGACTGAATCATCAGAATGGTCTAATACTCCTTGACTTTGTTGGCATTTGTTGTGAACACATTTGTTTGTTTAAATTCGCCCCATATAAATAGTTTGCAGCCACTTACCTTAGAAAATGTAGTAAATGCATTTTTTTCATGCAATGAATCATTTTTTTCAGTGTTGTTACACCTTCTAATTACATGTTATTCCTTTCTCTTTTTTTTTTTTTTACAACCAGACTGCAATAATAAAAACATAATTAAAAATAAAAATGACAAAATCCATTGTTTTCAATAGGGGGTAATTATGTTAATTTTTGCATAAATATTAATTATTACAACAAAGCCCTCTCAAAACAAAAGTAATAAAATAATCGAAAATATTCATCAAAAACAAATTTGATTTCATTACACTGAAAAAAAGAACTTTTAAGATTTACTTTTAAAAAAATCTTCATGACAATTTGCACCAACAAAATTTAATTAAATTTTATCTTCTTATATCAGGTGTCAATATCATGTTACATTGACTTCATGTTTACCCTTACTAATTACTAAATAAACTAATAAAGTAAAAGTTATTTATCTTTAATTTTCAGTATATATTTATTAAAATTTATCAAGTAATGTCAAGTTCTTGTTTAAGCAGGAGGAACATTGCTTTTATTCATTTAAATTAATCTTATTAGTTACAAATTAGTACATCTGCCATAACTTATTTGGAATTTGTTGTTTCAATTCATTTTAAGCAAATTGAACCCAAGAGCAAATTGACTTTGAATATGCTTCCTGCACGTGATTAAGCAGAACGAAAAGAAACATGGTTTACGGTACTGTTTTTCTCTCACGCTTGAACCACAGATCTAACAGATTATAACAGCTTTAACACACACCTTTCAAAGTTGTGTCACAAAAACACTCCATAATCCACTCAAAACGCTATTGAAACCCATTTTCAGATTGCAAATTACCGGTTTTAAACGCTGTAAATGGAAGTTCTAAACATTCTACTGGAAAAAAGGTCTATAATTGTAACGAGTAAGGGTGTGAATCTACACTGGTCTCACGGTTTTGGTTCGGTTACGATTATCATGCCATCGATTCAGTTCAATTCGATATCTTGGTGCACTGATAATGCTTTCCATACATAATTAGATTTTTTCTTCACAACACAAGAAATTTTTTCGTATTAAAATCTTTAAATCTATTTATATTGATATATTATTTGTAATACAATTTTGTTTTTCAATACAACAGTAAGATAAATGAACTGCACCCTGCAATTGGCTGTCGAAATGAAAGCGCTGTTCATCAATGGCGAGAAGAACAGTCGCGGTTACAGTCTGTTTGTGCATAATACACAGGTATCACAGGTAATTTATGATAGACACAGTGGATCAAACTTACACCTCAGGCACGATTGTGTCTGGATCCACAAGTATCGCTTTAATAGCCAAGAGGAGAGGAAAAGTTACCACACAAACAGGCCAGCGGGTCAAAGTTCCAAAGGGATAGAGAGAGATAAAGATGGAGTTTTACAGCAATGTAATGTGTATTTATATAGCGCATTTATTGTGTATGGCCATACACCCAAAGCGCTTCACAATCATGAGGGGGGGTCTCTCCATACCACCACCAGTGTGCAGCATCCACTTGGATGATGCGACGGCTGCCACAGGACAACGGCGCCAGTGCGCTCACCACACACCAGCTATTGGTGGTGTGGAGGGACAGTGATAGAGCCAATTCGGTGGAAGGGGATGATTGGGAGGCCATGATCGTAAGGGCCGATAGAGGGACTTTGGCCAGGACACCGGGGTTACACCCCTGCTCTTTCACGAGAAGTGCCATGGGATTTTTAATGACCACAGAGAGTCAGGACTCTCAGAGTCCTGAGAGAGTCAGCATTTATTGTAGTAAGAGCGTTACTCGCCCCCTTCGCCATAGTATTGCGACATCGCGCATAGGAGATAAATGACAACAGTACGTAATAACCGGTTATGATCTATTACTGAACCAATATCAATAACTTTGACACCCCTAGTGTCAAAATTAACTAATTGACGATGCAGCACATAAAAAATCATTTAAACTCCTCGAAAATATGTAATGAAGTAAAAGTGGAAGTAGGAGAAAAAAACAATACTCCAGTAAAGTAAAGATACAGCCTCTTAGTACTCAAGTACAGTAGTGAAGTAGTTCTACTTCGTTACTATACATCTCTGCTCAAGTGGTTCTAAAACTTTATGAATTTCTTTCATCTGTTGAACACAAAGGAACAAATTTCAAAGAACGGTGGTAAAAAGCAGCCATTGACATCAATATTAGCAGAAACAAAAATACAACGAAAGTCAATGGCTGTTTTTCCCCCAACATTCTTCAGTATATCTTCCTTTGTGTGTCAAACTGGTGGAGGATGAGTAAATGACAGAAATTAAATTTAGTTTGGGGAATGAACTATGTCTTTAATTAGACTAAACCTTAAAACCTCAACTATCATTGATATTTATGTGAACTGTATGGAGACCTGACGGAACCAAAAACAATGGGCCGTAATGACAGCTACAGTGGGATCCCCATAGAACGCAGCAAAAACCTGTCATATTGCCATCTGTTTCAAGCTACGGATTTTTGGATCAAAAATATCAAATATAAACAGAAAGAAACAGACATATGATCATAAATTGTAAATTGTGGGCGCTTGCCATTCATATCCTGCATTTTTCAGTCATTGTAAACTATTATGTCCCACTCAGAGCTCCAATTCGGCAATGTTTACATCTATCTTTTTGGATATTACTCAGCGGTTTAGGCATTGATGATAGTGTTATAGTGTGAAAGTGGTCGTTTGATAAATGATGTTGCTCATGTTTAATGCTGAATCTTTCGTGTCTTCCTCAGGCGCTGGCCCATAAGACTCTGGTTCTCCTGCTGGGTGTGGATCCCTCCAAACAGCTCGACCACCCCTTGCCCACCGCCCACCCGCATGTCACCTACGCTTACATGAAGTACATGTGGAAGAGCACTCGCAAGGTAAACGCACACAAAGTCTTCTTAAAAGCATTGCTGGAGGCAAAGAAGTGTATGTTTAATGTGCTATATACATTTAAAGACAGAATTATTAGCACCCCTGTTTATATTTTTTTCCCAATTTCTGTTTAACGGAGAGCAGATTTTCTCAACACATTTCTAATCAAAATAGTTTTAATAACTCGTCTCTAATAGCTGATTTATTTTATCTTTGCCATGATGACAGTAAGTAATATTTGGCTAGATAATTTTTAAGACACTTCTTCATGGCTTTAATGACATTTAAATGCTAAACTAGGTTAATTAGGTTAACTTGGCAGGTTAGGGTAATCAGGCAAGTCATTGTATAATGATGGTTTGTTCTGTAGATCAGGGGTTTCCAAACTTTTCAGCCCGCGACCCCCAAAATAACAATGTCAGTGACTTGCAACCCCCATTTTTCAAGGTGGTTACACTGTAAATATACATGTTGCAGACACAGCTATAGGCATATATAAAGATGAGCATATTGACAACACAAAAATGCAAGTCTATTAACCATATGTTTTTTATAGTCATTTATAAATTTAATTACATTTTAATATTAAAATTAAAGGCTGATTTTTTATTGTATGTTGTTGTTTCTTTAACGCAACAATTAACATATTCTGTGGGTTATGAATAAAATATGGTAATTCAAATAGTTTGGTAAAATTTATTTAGGTTTTGGAAATCACCAAGCGACCCCTTTGTCATTGTCCTGCAAGCCCCCAGGGGTTCCCGGCCACCACTTTGAGAACCACTGCTGTAGACTATCGAAAAAAATTAGCTTAAAGAAGCTAATAATTTTGTCCCTAAAATGTCTTTTAAAAAATTAAAAATTGCTTTTATTCTAGGCGCAATAAAACAAATAAGACTTTTTCCAGAAGAAAATACATTATCAGACATACTGTGAAAATTTCCTTGCTCTGATAAACATAATTTGGGAAATATTTAAAAAAAATAATAATAAAAATTCTAAAGGGGGCTAATAATTCTGACTTCAACAATATATTTTTTTTATTTAATCTGAATTATATTGTTTTAAAACATAATATTTATATACTCTAAAGCAAATATTCAAACACAAATACTTTGCACTATGATCAACAAAATCATCTACATTTCTGCACAAAAATGAGAAAACCTAAACCCTAATTTATCCAGTTCAAGATGCCACCGCATTATCCCCAAATATACATCATTTTATGATTACTTCAAATGATTTAAACGTTTATCCTTACATAATCCTTTCAACATTTACAAATACGCATTTTTTAACGCACAACCCCAACGGTTATGATTAGATTTCTTTTTCGAACAAAATAATTACAGACAATTACACTTTTAAACAAATGTCCAAACAGATACTTTGCACCATAATCAACAAAAACATCTACATATCTGGACAAAACTTAAAATCCCTAACCCCAATTCAAAATGCCACCTCATTTGCAAATGAGCTTTTTTATGCACAATGCCATAACAAGAGGCAATTCAATCATAACTTAATGTTAAATCAGATATCATAACATTATTAATCATTATATGGCTCTTTTTGGATTCTCAGAAGCTGTAGGGCTCTATTTCAACGATCTAGGCTTAAAGTCTAAGGTGGAGGGTGCAAAAGCATTAAGGGCATGTCAGAATCCACTTTTGATATTTTAGGAACAGAAAAATATGCTCTGCGCTGTGGCGCATGATCTAACAGGGTTGAGCTTATTCTCCTAAATGAGTTCTGTGTGTGTTTTGAGAATAAACCAATCAGAGTCTCATCTCCCATTTCCTTTAAGAGTCAGTTGCGTCCTGCCATGGCGCATTTGCCATTTACATGGCGGACATCTGCAACAGAAGGATAAAGAATGAGCCACCTCCAAATGGCCACTTTACTTTCTCTTTCTCTCTTTCGCACTCCACTGAAGACATCCATTAGCCTATATAATTAATTTTGATTGTTTAGTGCAAAGATTTCTTTCAAAACTATTTCTAAATTCAGTACTAGTTTCCAGCAATCAAACAAATGAACAATAATAACAGTGTGGTCCAGCACCTCTGAAATCTGGTCTTACAGATCCCCCTTCTTACACGCACCCCCGCTCTTCACTTTCATCCGCAACTCCCCAACCCTGTCTTTCCACGACTCCTCAACCTTCTTTGTCCGTGACACTCACACCCAACTCCACCCCCACCACACTCCCCCTTCTTCACTTTCGTCCACGGCACCTCTCCCTCCACTGGTAACAATGCGGATCCACTACCCCGATCTGTTCCAGGACCTCGCAATTTACAAATTAAGCGCTGGCTATGCCCCATATAAGCCAAAACCTTACAGGTGGACAAATCTGAGCTTGTTTTTAATAAAACAAATATTAATATGCAAATAATAAATAATATTACTACTAATAATAACATAAAAAAGCTGAACATAACATAAAAAAGTTGTCATGAATAAACTAAAAAAAGCCCCCGAGGTGAAGAAGGCATGGAGGCAGTGGTTTTATTTTTTATGTAGAAAATAATAAATTTTGTAATATTTAATCCTTTAATTCTTTTTCATTTGTAAAGATATTTGCGTATTGCTGTAAATCCTGTGTGTATTAAGCAATGTCTGAGGCGCACGACTAATGCACTCTGCGCTGGACTTTAGACCTGCTTTCAGCTAGTCTATTTAGCAGTCTATTTTAGATCATCAAAACAGCAACGTGCCAACAATACACCTTAACACACCTCTTTTCTTGACCGGAACACCTATGAGTCCACAAAGTGCCGCAAATGTATTTGCTATTTAAACAATGTGACGGAAAAAGTGAAAATGATGGTTGAATTGGTCTGAAAATTGGCATCGACAACATGAATGCATGGATCCATCCTGCCTTGTATCAACATTTATGGGTGGTGGTGGTGGTGTAATGGTGTCTGGGGTACTTTCTTGACGCTCTTTGGCCCCAATAGTACCAACTGAGCATCATGTCAACGCCACAGCCTACCTGTGTATTGTTGCTGACCATGACCATCCCTTTATGACCACAGTGTACCCATTTTCTGATGGCTACTTCCAGCAGGATAACGCGCCATGTCATAAAGCGCGAAACATCTCAGACTGGTTTCTTTAACATGACAATGAGCTCACTGAACTCAAATGGCCTCCACAGTCATCAGAACTCAATCCAATAGAGCATCTTTGGGATGTGGTGGAACGGGAGATTCACATCATGGATGTGCAGCCGACAAATCTGCAGCAACTACACGATGCTATCATGTCAATATGGTGAAACATCTCAGAGGAATATTTTCAGTACTTTGTTGAATCTTTACCACGAAGGGTTAAGGCAGTTCTGAAGGCAAAAAGGGGTCCAACCTGGTACTAATAAAGTGGCTGGTCAGTGTATATAAATATCTTGAAAAAATAGATTTTTTTATTTCTTTTTTAAAATATTTGTGTATTTCATAAAGCGTTTAAATGGTTACAACAGCATGTTTTGTTAGGTGTTTATGATTAAAAAAAATGTGTCTTTCAGAGGATGACAATTTTAAAGAGTAAAATAGTAAACGCTTTTACGGACAGTATAATTACATCATGTCAGTATTCCGTAATCTAGCTTGTTTCTAAAGTGTTATGCATGTGCGAATTACGTAAATTCCAGGCACTGAAAATCACAGTGCACAGCACAGAGCCAGTCCCAGTCCACATTGCAGCACTGTGTTAAAATTCCTGGCATGCATCTATGGAGCCGTCAGCTTCACTGAAATATCCCTGTAAAGAGATGGGAAAACAATACACTATATTACTAAAACACCTTTGCTAGTTGTAAATGGTCACATGCTGGTCTCATGCTGCTTACAGGTGGTCCGTATGTCATAATGACCTTTGGTAGTAATGACAAAACTATAAATAATTTAGTTTTTAGCATTTTGATCAAATATAAATAGTCTGGAATTAGTGTTGGGAGATATATGAAATTTTCAGATCGCCATATCGTCCCCCTGTGAGATCAGCGATACACAATACTATCGCATGGGGGTGTGGCACTTGTATGTTTACTTATTTGCTTATCTATTTAATCTTTTCTAAACTTTTTAAAAAACTTTTCTACTGTTTTTTTTTTTGTTTTTTTACTTATTTAATAATCTACTTTATTTGCATTACGTTTTATTTTGGAAAATAATTAAAATCCATGGAAATAATCACACTCTTTCTGATAAATAGGCTCTGAGACTTAAATTGTTTCAAACATAAGACTCGATGCAACAGTGCGGCGCGAGACAGGATTGGATCGTGACTTCGGGCTATTTTCGAGTTTCACTTTCGGCAGTTATCCGCAGGACTCCTGCAATATGGATATATGTAAATATAATTTGATAAAAGCAAATGAAGTTATATTTACCTACGCACAGAAGAAACAGTGATCCATTAAAGTCCTTTCAGACGGCAGGCAGAGATCTTGCCGTTTCTACTTTTTGGCGTTTTCTCCATATTTTTAGTTATTTGTAGTTTGTTTGTTATTATTGACGATGATTAAGAATAATAATAGTAGTACCTTTATTTAATAATGCAATTAAAACATGTAATAGGTCTATAATAATGTGAAATGAGCTAAATATCGTCTTCAAAAGTCCTCGGTGATATCTTTGCCTATCATCGATACACAATACTATCATCTATCAGCACAGTCCTGTCTAGAATTATGTTTGTGGTATATTTTAATGTAGCATAGTAACTTTAAGGGGACGTAATATGCAAAAATCACTTTAATAAGGGGATTAAACAGTTGTGTGGCAAGAGTCTATAAGCAGACTCTAATGCAGGCCCGGCCCTTACCAATTTGGCGCCCTAAGCAAGATTTCAGTTGGCGCCCCGTCAGATCGCAGTAAATTCCACTGCTAGTGTACATTTAGTCATAAGAAACTAAATAGCTTTTTGATCGACTACTACAAGCTGGGAAAACAGATGAATATGCCAATGCAATTAACGTTATTGCTGAATAGATCTAATATTTACACATTTGCTTGAGGAAGGAATAATGAGGGTAGTTACATTACTATTACTATTTTCCATAACATCTATGCCCTTCCATAAGATTAGCTGACGCTTAAACTAACAGATAGCACTAAAGCTATTTATTGATTAGCAACCATGCTATGCCATACCTGTTAACGTTGGGATGTAAAAAATATGGGACAACAAATTGCTTCAAATGATTGAATACATAGCAAACATTAGAAAATATTGACAATAAGATAAAAGTTTAAGCCTATTAAAATCAATGGCCTATACAGAAATTAAATAAAGTTATAAAATCTACTTTACTTTCTATTGTATTTGCATTTTTATTAAAGTTACTATAGTTATTTAGTAAAGAGCAGCAAATGAATCTCATATTGTGTTTTGTTTGATAACAGAGGTGTTATTTTAAGAACACACATACATCTATAATGAAGCATTCGACTACTTAGTAACTGTTTGTGCTCATTTAAGAGAAAATTAGTTGTGTTTAAAATAAAACACGCAGGACGGACATGTTTACATGTTTTTAAGCGTATTTGTTTGTTTAAACACACATCCGAATCACCAAAGTATCCCAAACTTTCGAAACACTTAGAATAACTTTCTCTCTTTGTACGTCATTAGAAAGGTAATCCCCCACCTATTGACAATCTCTCCCTCAATAGCATAAACAGTCCTGAGTGAGAAGCAGCCATTCACCATTAGAGTTGGACAGGGATAACATTAGTCCTACTTTGAATCTGCTACTATGCTGACACATAAGCGTTTGTAGTCTCAGTTGGATTGAAAGCACCAGTCACCAAAACTGCACAATTTGGATCAAGCGTAAAGAGTTATAAATCACTATTTGTGTGGTATTTTGAGCTAAAACTTGACATACACACTCAAGAGACATCAGCGCTGAAACATACACTGCAAAAAAGGCTTTTCTTACCCAGATTTTTTGTCTTGTTTCTAGTCCAAATATCTAAAAAATTCCTAAATCAAGAATAATTTTCTAAACAAGTAAGACATATTGCCTGGTTTTGAGAAATAATATGCCAAAATTAAGTGAGTTTTTCCTTAAAACAAGCAAAATAATCTGCCAATGGGGTAAGCAAAATAATCTTGCGTCAAAAAAAAAAAACTAGATTATTTTGCTTACCCCATTGGCAGATTATTTAGCTTGTTTTTATGGAAAAACTCACTTAATTTTGGCTTATTATTTCTCAAAACAAGACAATATGTTTTGCTTGCCTAAAAAATGCTTCTTGATATAAGAAATTTTAGATATTTAGACTAAAAACAAGACAAAAAATCTAAGCAAGAAAAGCATTTTTTACAGTGTACAGATTGATCTGTATCAGTATTAATCTTACATTTTCAGAAAAAGAATTTAAAAATACAAAATTAACTAGTTATTTGTTGAATGACCTGCACAACATCTCTAACACAAGCTCCTTGGAAAATCCTGCGTCAGCCTACATTTTATGAAACAACGAAAAACATGTCTATATGTACAGTTGAAGTTAGAAGTAATACCCTTGCTTTCTTCCTTTTTTAATATATTTCCCAAATGAGGTTTAACAGAGCAAGGACATTTTCACAGTGGCTGATAATATTTGTTTCTTCTGGAGAAAGTCTTATTTGTTTTATTTCGGCTAGAATAAAAGCAGTTTTACATTTATTAAAAAACAATTTTAAGGACAAAATGATTAGCCCCTTTAAGCTATTTTTTATTACTATAACTAATTAAGAAAATAAGCTCAACCCTTTTAGATCATGCTCCATGGCGCAAAGCAGATTTTTCCTCCTTATATTAGCAAAAGTGGATTCTGACACGCCCTGAAAGTGTTTGCGCCCTGCACTTTGCGCTCTGCGCATGGACCGTCAAAATAGAGCCCTGTATTTTTGTCTTATTATATCTGTAAAATCACTATCCATTGAGACTGTAATCCACTTTTCTTCCATGTGTTCAGAATAATGAGAGTGTGATTCAGTGTGATTACACTAATTTTCATTCAGCAAATTATTGTTTAAAAGCTAATTAATTCATTTAAAAAAAAAATTTTAAGGCATAGCCAGAGTTTTTTTTTCTGGCTATGCTAGTGGTCTCTATGTATAAAAAAGGTCTGGTGCTAGTATGCAATGATTACTCGTGTGCTATATTTAAGCATTTGTTTCTGTCTTCTTCTCTCAGATCGATGCCTTCCAGCATATGCAGCACTTTGTGCAGGGAATGCAACAGCAAGCACAACATGCCATCGCAGCTGAAGACCAGCAGCACAAACTGGAGCTGCACAAACTAATGGCACGGTCAGTACAACTCATCCTTTTGCCCACACTTATAACTGTAATTATCTGACTTTACTCCAACATTCTGTGGAAACATGCTGCCCTATATCATTTATATTCTGATCAAGCAATTTTTTTGTATTAACATAAAACCTAAACCTTGTGCAGTTTTATAAAAAATAAAAAGACTTGAGTTGAACTATTTTTAGTATAGAAGGTCAAATCTACTGTAAATTTGCACTGTAAAAGAAAAAAAATCTGTCAATTTGCAATTTTCCATATTTTGTGATTTAGTTTATTATTATTATTATTATTATTATTATTATTTATGCTTTTTAATTAGATTGTGAGACCTATATCTTTCCTCCAACAACTCCTATTGACACTATATATATATATATATATATATATATAGTCTGGTTTGGTTTTGTAAATTACAATACAAAAACCTGATAATAAACTGCCAGTACTTTTTCTGTTATTTTACATACTTCACACTCTCAGTATTATTTATTATACTGTTATATTGTTTCAAACCACAAAAAAATTAGTAATAGTCACGGATTAAATGCGCAGGGGATTTTTCAACATCAAAAGTCCAGAGAGCAAAGATCAACATCCCATAATACAATTCACAACCGTAAATAAACAGGAAAAAAATGTAAATCATGAGGATGAGGATAAATGTAATTTAATTCTAATCTTATTAATATTTGTAATTTTGTAAATAATGTAATTTAATACCTTTAACTCATCATTTTTTCATGTATCGGAGGTAAAAAAATAAAATAAACATTTTATCTTTCGATATTTTTCAATGTATTTTTCAGTGTATTTCAATACATTTTAAAGTTACAGTATACATTATTGACAAATGACATTTATTTATTAACAAATGTTTATTTTTTTACTAAAATAACTTCACAAGAACCAGTAAAAAATCTCTAAATTAATTATTTTAACCCTTTTAGTTTAGCAAGTCAAGTCGCATTAACTGCAAAAAAATCATCTGGCAAGACCACATCTTTAGTTCATTCATTAACTTAATAAATTGACTATACATTTTGAAACTTTTTTTGAATGCACTTAAAGCATAAACATGAAGAGACACTCTTCATGATGTGCCCAGAACTAATTTAGTTTGTTTCATTATAAAAAAAAAACAATAATAATGGTAATGTATTTTATTTGTATTGCACTTTGTAATCATCTATTGCACTTATTGCTGCACACAAACATGCAAAATCTTGAAAACAGAATCCCCGCATTATTGTTAGCATCGTCCTAAATTATTTAACATGAATTAAATCAGTAAAAACAGAACAATCTAATTTTTTTTCAGTTTTCAGATAATGCTGTATAACTTCTCCGCGAGCACAATGGCTCAGTGTGTCTGAAGCATGCGCATGAAGAGTTCACTGCTTTGCGCACACAATGTTCTCTTCCATGTTCTGTTCCGCAAGCTTTTACGATTTCTGTTATATTTCCTCTCTCTTATTGGCTAGTTTCCATTTGGTTGAAGTCACTTAAAAAGACTTCTTTCCTTCGCAGTTTGACTCCTCCAGGCCCAGGTGTTCTTTAAGGCCAGAGATTGTTCTTACTAAATTTTCGTCTCGTCTAAATTAATATTGGGGACATTTTACTGGAACGCGGACAATGAAGAAAAAAGGGATTTGTTTAACTGATCCAGCAGGCCGATATTGAAGAAGACACTGAACATATCATTTTCCAGCAACAATCAAGGGTTTTGAATCAGAATTTTAAGAACAGGTTTTCTGATGTGTTGCGTATTCTTATTTTCAGATTCTTCTACTCTTCTCAAAATGGAATTTCTTTCTGATAACTGAAAATATAGACTTTAGCATTGAATGTTTTCAAGTGGTTAGATTGAGGAAAACACCTGTCTGGTCAGCGTTTTCTGCTCCTCCCCTAATGCCCTGACAAACTTTCTTCTGAACGCAGGCTGACAATAATAAGCGCTGAGGAAAGGATGCACATCTGTTTCATTCAATGGTCTTGTCTCTGGAATTCACGAGTGTCTGGCTTAGCCGTATGCTTTGGCAACAGCTGACAAGAGATCACAACATCAGCAGAAGCTGTAAACCTGTACGTTATCAATAGCCAAAGACAGTAAATATTTGATTGTAATGATTTTTAAATTGAGCTAATCTTGAGAAATCATAGCTTTATTTAAGTCTGAATTATTAGCACCCCCTCGTTTATTATTTTCCCGTTTCTTTTTAACAGATTTAACAGATTTTTTTCAACACACTTCTAAACATAATAGTTTTAATAACTAAATTTATTTTATCTTTGCCATGATGGCTAAATAATATTTTACTAGATATTTTTCAAGACACTTCTATACAGCTTAAAGTGACATTTAAAGGATTAACTAGGTTAATTTGGTAATTAGGCAGGGTAGGGTAATTAGGCTAGTTATTGTATAACGATGGTTTGTTTTGTAGACAATCTAAAAAAATTTAGCTTAAAGGGGCTAATCATTTTGACCTTAAAATTGTTTTTAAAAAATGTAAAACCTGCTTTTATTCTAGCCGAAATAAAACAAATAAAACGTTCTCCAGAAGAAAAAATATTATCAGACATACTGTGAAAATTTCCTTGCTCTGTTAAACATCATTTGGGAAATATTTAAAAAAGAAAAAGAAAATTCAAAGGGGGGCTAATAATTCTTACTTCAACTGTATATATAAATATATATATAATATATTTATAAGCAATATCACATGAGTAGCAATGCGATATGGTTGTATATTGGCACTGGTGGGAGGCGTGTTTTAGCTCGCTGCAGGCCGAGTGCCTTAGTGTCCCACCAGTGATAATAAACAGCCATATTGCACTGCTATAAGTGTGATAGTGCGTTTATACAACAGTTTGTAATGTAATGTAATGTGTATTTATATAGCGCATTTATTGTGTATGGCCATACATCCAAAGCGCTTCACAATCATGAGGGGGGGGTCTCTACACATCACCACCAGTGTGCAGCATCCACTTGGATGATGTGACGGCTGCCACAGGACAACGGCGCCAGTGCGCGCACCACACACCAGCTATTGGTGGAGTGGAGAGACAGTGATACAGTCAATTCGGTGGAAGGGGATGATTCTCTTTCACGAGAAGTGCCATGGGATTTTTAATGACCACAGAGAGTCAGGACCTCGGTTTAACGTCTCATCTGAAAGACAGCTTAAGTTTGATGGCATAATCATGTATATAAACAAGAAAGTCAAACACGGAGAGTCTCAAACCCTTTTGTATAAGGAACTACTTTCATCTACCATTTATTCACATCTGCAGCTGACGTCAAAACAGCAGTGTAACGACGGGGGTGGAGTGACAGATACAACAGAAGGTAAGATCCAATATGCAGGTTTATTCAGCGTCAGGCAAGCAGTGGTCATACAGGTGCAAACGGGTATATTAGGGCAGTCCAGAATCGTAGTCGTATTAACAGGCAATAGGTCAAAAGGCAGGCGGCTAAACAGGAGAACAGTGAATACAAGGCTAGGGTCTAACTCGGAGAAACAAGACAGGGAAACGCGTTGTAAAGTCACACTAAGGTAAACAAGACTCGGCAAACTGGAAGGGTGAAAGAGTGGCTTATGAATGGTTTGTATCAGTCTCTGACAAGGTGCAGCTGGTGATTGTAATCAGGGTAGATGAATGAGCAGGCGTGCGTGTCTGGGAGAAGTGCATGTATGAATGTGTAGTCCTGGGTAATGCGGAAGTGTATTCCTGAGAGTTCGTGTGAGAACCAGCGATCTCTGGAAAGCGATCACTGGCTGTGTGACAAGCAGAAACCAATGCTATTTCACACACGTCACTTTAGAACTATTTGAATGATTCTCTAGCGTAATGTCTAAAGTGATGATAAAACAAGTGATTTTGCTGACACTTTAAGATTATAAGGCTGAACGGCATGGAATGCCATCAGTCTAGAGAATTTTTCCAATGTTTGTCTGTTGTAATCGGCATATCGCAATAATTAACTCCAAAAAGCAAAAACACAACCAGATTACTATGGTTTTAATACAGCACTACAACATACAAAAGAGAGAGGTCTACTTAGAATGTCATTTACCTGTTCTGTATTGATTTGATCTACTGTAGTTTGAAATTAAGCAGTTTTTTTTCCCTCTAAGGGCTTATTATGCGGTCCTTGTCGCCATCTTGTGGCACAACATCAACCGTTTTCGCTCTGCTTAGTATGACAGGCTGATGGATGCCGACGATGTATCTCAGAAATTATAAAAATTTAAAATAGGTACTATCCTTATAAATAAACTGGATAGTTGCAATCTAAACAACTACATCCTCTACTTAAAAAGACTCAAAAGTACATTGTGTTTTTTTGTACATGAGTTTATTGATCTGCTGTCACTCTGTCTGGGCTGTACGAGTGCTGTTATTGCAGAAAATTGCACAGCTATCAGCCAGTCAGATTCGAGAACCAGACAGAACTGTTGTGTGTATATATATATTATTGAGCCCCGTTACACTATTCCGAAATCAACCCATTGCAGCAGACCATAATTTAACTTTCGCCCCTATAGCCAGGAGTTTTTTTACTGCAGTTAAGATTTTTGCATCAAGCAGATCTGTGCTTTCCAAAGAAAATGTTGACACTAATTAAAACATTAGCATTTTTTTTTCATTTGTTTATAACTACTACAATATTACATTTCTTATTTCATATTGCTTTGGATTTTTTATATCAAATATACGTGACATTTTTCAAGACCTATTTTGTGTATTTTTCTACATCGTCCAAGACTTAAAACGCAGTAATTCAGTGAATTAGATTTTTGTTTTTCCGCTGTAATTATGCATGCAGCTTCTCTTATTGTCCGTAATTCACTCCAGCTACTTCTATTTCTGTGTCTGGCCTAGAATTAAAGAAACAGCAATGGGCTACTATCCTCGCTCCAATACCAGTCGTAAACCCAAAATGTGCTTGTCAAACTTTCCTCATTACTCCTCATCCTATTGATCGAGTG